CTTGTCGAAAGGAGCTAAGCAAACCGTGCGGCAAGACGCGATGGTTTTCGTTCACACTGGAAAGGGTGATGATGTTTGTTTATTTGGTGGCTTGGACCGTCCTGGAACATCTGTCCGCCCTCGGAAACAAATAAGTCCCCCTCAGGTCCTGAAATATTTGTTCTTGGCCTGTTTTCCCACCCAACCAGTTTATCACCCAAACTGGAATTCTGGAAGGACGCATGTTTCGATCAAATAAACATGCATCACACTTGGCTGAGAGCAGTAGTCTGAATAATGTGCAGTCTGAGGTCCAAGAAACCATATGAAGAAAATGAGATGAAATGATTGAAGGTTATGTAAGACTCCAATCAAGATTGGACCATCTTCGAATCCGCAAGTGAAAGAAACGGAACGCATCATGAAGAATTGTCCTCGGGGACCGTGGCCCGAAAAATCTGTGCAAGAGTAATGTTCCGAGGAAAAGATAGGATCATGCGCTCCGGGCAATTCTCGGTATGGTTTTGATGGGCTTTTTGGAACTACAAGCCCGAGCAATCATATGAAGATGATTGATGATTTCAAGTAACATGACACCGCAGGAACACGGGGGCCTAAAGAGAAATGGAATCAAGAAACTTGAGACCTGTGGTACACTGTAAAGGATTAGCATTCCTGGAAACAGGACTCTTCCGAGAAAACAAAAAACAAAACAGACCATCTGATCATGCGGTCCAGGGAAAGACAACGTTGTGTGACTGCCAGTTTGTTGTCGTCGCCTACGAGAGGGCCAGGAGGCAGACAAAGAACAGATAAAAGGATGGCCTCCATGGACCCTGACGGGGACGTTAGCCCCTCGATACGCAAGACAGGCCCTCAGGACATGAAGTGGGAGGCCAACATCAACCCCATCCTGAAAAGGCCCTGAGGAAGCACGGCCTGCCACAAGAGCTACTGAGACAGTTCTACACAGCAGTCCTCGAATCAGTCCTCTGTTCCTCCATCACAGTTTAGTTTGGGGCTACCATAAGAACGGATAAAATCCGACTGCAACAGTCAGTTAGGACTGCAGAAAAAAAAAAAAATCATTGGCACCGCCCTACCCACTCTTGAGGACACCCCAAGAACCAAAACAAGTGCACTGAAAATCCTACTGGACCCTCCACATCCTGCCCACCACCTTTTACTGCTCCTCGCCTCATGCAAGCGCTACCGACTCTATGCGCACCAAAACCACACAAAAACATTCAAACAGCTTCTTCCCCCTCACCTTTAACGCCCTAAACAGTAACTCAAATCTATAGAGGCTCTTTGCTTTTTTTTGCACACCCCTGTGGAACAGTATTCCTGCAATGATCATTGTAGCTCCAGCTCTGTTCATACTTGGACAATTCTCATTGATCTATATTCCACAGCACCAGACACTTTTAAGCGATCAAGGTCTTTCTGCATAATTGTACATGTGAAGTTGTACTGTGGTACCTCTACTTACGAAATTAATTGGTTCTGGAAGAAATTTCTGAACGAGAAAATTTTGAAAGTAGAGGCGCTTTTTTCATGAAAATGCCCTAATCCGTTCCAAGCCCCGCCAAAATTCAGACATAAATTTTTTCTAAAGCATAAAAATGCATCAAAATATGGAACAAATACATGTTACAATTAGATTATTGCACAATAAATGAGAGTTGTGCATTATATAAAAAACAAAGAGTAAAGAATAAAAATGATGGTCATTTAACTTTTAACAGCGTCCATCGTTTTTCCCCTCTTTAGTTCATGTTTTCTCTCTCAGAAGTGGTTTTTGCCTGGCATTTTGTCAAGAACTGATCCAGGGACATTTGCTTTTGTCGGCTTTTAACAATCCTTCAAAAATGTCCAAGGCAAACATCAGCATAGTGAGTGATCGCCTGACTGGTGAACACTTTTTCTGGGTGATTCACATTTACGTCAAACTATCGTAACGCCTCATGGCCCGAGGGGCGATTGACGAGGACCATGCATAGACACATATCTATCTATCTACACACATCGACACATTCGGTAGAGGCCCCTCTTAGCCAATGGGATGCCAGGATGGTGCTCGATAATACCCAATGGCAGAGCAGCTATAAGTTTGTTGCATTCAAGAAACTCGGAGCTGCGAGCAGCCGCCCATACTGTATTTTTACCTTTCGTAACATGAAATTTCTTTCGTAACAAGATGCAATATTTTCCTGTTGAGGCGTTTCGTAACTCGTAAATTTCCTATGAAGAGACGTTTGTAAGTAGAGGTACCACTGTACTACAATGACGACTACTGGTCACTTTAACCCTACGAGAGAATCAGTCACCAAAATGTCCTGTCTGGCTGGCTCTGTCTTTATTGACATTCAAAACCATTTCTCGCCAGATCTCCATGGGTCAGATGCTGCAGGAGTTCGGCAAGTTTCTGGGCCTTTTCCTGCTCGTTTTGTTCTCCTTCACCATTGGACTCACGCAGCTCTACGGGAAGGACCAGAAAGACCTGGACAACAGCGCGCCTAGCGACTGCCAAGGCATATTCTGCCAGCAGCAGAGCAACGATGCGTTCCACACGTACGTCCGGGCTTGGGTCGATGTGAACGTCAGACACTTGAGAGATGATTTTTGTGGCTCTCTTCTCGCAGGTTCATGGGCACCTGCTACGCCCTCTTCTGGTATATCTTCTCGTTGGCTCACGTGGCGCTCTTCGTCACCCGCATCAGCTACACGGAGGAACTGCGCTCCTTCGTGGGCGCCCTGATTATCGGCACCTACAACATCGTGGTGGTCATCGTGCTGACCAAGTTGCTGGTGGCCATGCTCCATAAAAGCTTCAGGCAAATCGCCGTGAGTGTTCCGCTGGCGGCCATGTCGACCACGTCACCTTTAGAAAGCGTCCTAACATTCATGCATACTCATGAGATAGAAATGAGGCTTTGTTCCGGTTTTCAAAATTATTATTTTTTGGATAGAATCACGAGGACAAAGAGTGGAAGTTTGCCCGGGCCAAACTGTGGCTGAGCTATTTCGACGATAAGTGCACAATGCCGCCGCCGTTCAACATCCTGCCCTCGCCCAAGACCGTCTGCTACTTGCTGACGAGTATGAATAAGTGGATCTGCTCGCACACCTCCAAGGGAAGAGTCAAGAGACAGAACAGCCTGAAGGTGAGCGCAATCGCTCATGTCGCGTCAAACACAACACAGGGTGGCTAACTTAAGTCCGCATCTTGACTTTCTGCGTCGTGATTTCATGCGGACATTTTGTGGCTCCTTCTGGTGTGTGCGCCTTGGCCAGTTTGGGGCCTGCAGACGAACATACCTGGAGAAGACGGCATTGACTGCTTTTTAACCCTTTCGGGAACAGCAGTTACTGCGGTGGACAGCTTCTCGTGTTATCAGGTTACAGCACAGATTTCAAAGTCAAGGCCCGGGGGCCAGATCTGGCCTGCCACATCATTTTATTTGGCCCGCGAAAGCAAATCAAACATGTAAATTTCCATGATGTTTGCTAAAATCTGAACCAAAATTTCAAATGGTCATTTGTAATCCACAATAACAGTCATTATTCTTGACTTCTGATTTTAAAACTAATTATCCATCCATTTGTTGTGCGCTGTTTATGGAATATATTGAGGTGATTAAACATTTATATGGTTTCCCCAAATTCATAACGGCCCTCCAAGGGAAACCATAACTACAATGTGGCCCGCGACGAAAACGAGTTTGACACCCCTGGGTTACAGGATGCAGGAAAGGTTTAAGCTGCTGTAAAATTGGCTATTTTGTCAGTGAGGATAAAGAACATATGCCAGTGACTATTGTTTTATTGTCTCACTACATGTGTTGCTGCGCTGTTTGTGTTCACATATCTTCCAACAGTTCAAGGGTGATGACAGAGCGACATCGATGCTAGTTTTATTTTTTATGTTGGGTGTTAGTGTGAAGCTAGCGGACATTTGTTATTGGGTTGAACGGGTTATTGGGTACGTACGGAATGTGTAATTGTCTTTGTTTTATGTTGAGTTCAACAGTAAACTTCAACTGCTGGCAATAAAAGCCTTGTCCACTATTTTCGAAAGTGTTTTGCTTGTTGCCGTAAAAGTCGTAATTTAGATCACTCATAAATCAAGCAAGTTGCTAACATGGCAGGCTTTTGGAGTTCAAGTCTGAGTGAGGGTTTCCCGCAATGGTTGAAGGAAATGTTTCAAGCCGGTATTAGGGTTCAGAAGTTGAAGTTCTACCTTTGTGCTTTGAGTTCAGACAAAACCATCACGGCCAGTTTGCTCTTCCCTGCGCAGGAGTGGAAGAACCTGAAACAAAAGCGCGACGAGAACTACCAGAAGATCATGTGCTGCTTGGTGCACCGCTACCTGACATCCACACGACAGAAGATGCAGAGCACGGACCAGGCCACGGTGGAGAACCTCAACGACCTGCGGCAGGACCTGTCCAAGTTCCGCAATGAGATGCGCGACCTGCTGGGCTTCCGTACCTCCAAATACGCCATGTTCTACCCCAGGAGCTAGAAGCCTTTTCCCTTTTCCTCTTGACTCCCATCTCTCGCTATTCGTTTATCCTACGAGAGGAGAACACAAACTGACGGAGGCGAACTAGAAACAATATCCATGTAGTCTCATGTTTTTTTGTAAAAGACGGAAAGCATTGTTTTGGAGAAAATTAACAATAAATATTTATGCGATGTTTCTGCTACTCCTCCCAAAAAAACAAAACAAAACAAAAAAAAGGTAATTGGAAACACAATTTGATTTTCGGACTTTTATTAGGGAGCGTGACAATAATAAAATATAAATAATATTCACAGACGCAAGAGTAACAGTCGAGTAACCTACAGTTCATCCGATATGTATCAAATATTGCACAGTTTACCAAAAAAAAACAAAAAAAATCTAAATTTGTGGCTTTCAAATGTTTATCAAACTTCAGACTCGAAAGGTACAGCGTGTTGGGGCCACCCCGGAAAGAAGAGAAATAAAGTCGGATATTTTTGAAAAAAAAGTGGATATTTTCAAGATTCAAGTAGTATCTCATGGAGAAAAAAAGCATATTTTTGAGATTAAAAATCATTTTTATGATTAAATGGTATATTTTGAGAGCGGATAAGTTGCACGCTGTATTTTGGAATATTTTCAAGATTAGTTCTATATTTTTCAAGACAAAAAGGCTATTTTTAAGAATAATCAAATATTTCCAAGACAAATTAAATTATGTCAAGATTAGGTCATTGTGTATTTTCAAGAAAAAAAAAGGCACGCATTTTTATTTTTAATTGAAAGAATATATTGTCGAGGCTAAAGTCATAGTTTCACAAGAAAATCGGTATATTTTCCAAATAAAATGTCCTATTTTCGAGATTGAAGCTTTAATATTACAAAGACGGAATACTGATTACTGATGTTTATTCTCGTGAGAGTATGACTTGAATCTCATAGTGACATCTTTTGACTCTTATACTTTTCAGAGTGGCTCTAATGCTCCTTTGCACTCTTTCCGAGACCAGCAAACGATTGCCGGGAAGAATTGTGCTTGGTTGTTAAAAAAAAAAAAAAAAACATGAAAAAATTTAAACGTAAATTTTTATTGTTTTTTTTTTTTTTTTTTCATTGGTCCATTAACATACTTTAGTACTCATTTTAACCCTTTTGGGGACAGCGGGTACTACAATGGACATCTTATCAGGTAACAGGGTGCTTGAAAGGGTTAACCTCAGCGATTAAAAAAAAAAAAACATTCTTAAATTAACTCTATTGAATTCAATATTTTTAATTGTTACTTTTTTCTCATTAAATATTTTAACATTTTTATATATATATATATATATTACTCTCATTTTAATAAGTAGACATTTATTCGCTGATTTATTTTGGGATTCTATATTAGCTCCGTGTATGATGCATGATAAATGAAGGGAAATGGAAGCAAAGTTTTGCCCGAGTAGCCGTCGTCAGACGCTGCCGGCGCTCCTCAGCAGCGCTTGTTCTTCAGCATGCTGAGCGCCTTCTGGTTCTTGCTCTTGAAGGCCAGCACGAAGTGGTGCGGGCCCACCTTGCCCAGGCCCTCCTCATCCACGTGGCCCATGAAGATGTAGTTCAGGCCTGGTGAAGTCACACACACAGAGCCTGAATGCGGCGGCGGAACGACGGAGACATTCAGGAGGGAAGGGGAAGGGGGAGGGGGAGGCCACGCGTGAGAATCCGCTCCACGACCACACAGGTATTCTGCATTCCGAGATTTTTTTTTAGAAATACATTTGACATTTTGAAGGTAATATTGACAACATGCAAAGATCTATGTCACTCGTTGCGATTTAGCTTTCAACTGTTTTTAACTATTTCATTTCCTGGTGAACATCCCATATCGGTGTGACGCCCGCCCCCCCCTGCCATCACATAAAAGCCAAAAGGTAAGCAGAGCTGCGTTGAATTGTGTGATATTAGAATGAGCTAGTTACTTGAACTTCTTATAAGCGGCGCCTATATTAATGGGTTCGATGAAGCTGTCGACACACGGTGGGGGAGCTTTATGGTGATGTGAAGTGGTGCGTCCGTCAGTGAAAATTACGATAGGACAAAAATACTATTTCGATTTTAAGCGGTTCCACTGTACGAGACAACATCCAGACTAGGTTGAGCTAATGTCGCAAACAGAAAACGGCACTCACCTCTCCTGACGAACGGGCACTTCTTACACAGGATGACCATCTTGGTGCTCATGGTCTTCCCTGCCTGCTGGATGGCCAGGTTGCCTTCAAGTCACACACACAGAGCCTGAATGCGGCGGCGGAACGACGGAGACATTCAGGAGGGAAGGGGAAGGGGGAGGGGGAGGCCACGCGTGAGAATCCGCTCCACGACCACACAGGTATTCTGCATTCCGAGATTTTTTTTTTAGAAATACATTTGACATTTTGAAGGTAATATTGACAACATGCAAAGATCTATGTCACTCGTTGCGATTTAGCTTTCAACTGTTTTTAACTATTTCATTTCCTGGTGAACATCCCATATCGGTGTGACGCCCGCCCCCCCCTGCCATCACATAAAAGCCAAAAGGTAAGCAGAGCTGCGTTGAATTGTGTGATATTAGAATGAGCTAGTTACTTGAACTTCTTATAAGCGGCGCCTATATTAATGGGTTCGATGAAGCTGTCGACACACGGTGGGGGAGCTTTATGGTGATGTGAAGTGGTGCGTCCGTCAGTGAAAATTACGATAGGACAAAAATACTATTTCGATTTTAAGCGGTTCCACTGTACGAGACAACATCCAGACTAGGTTGAGCTAATGTCGCAAACAGAAAACGGCACTCACCTCTCCTGACGAACGGGCACTTCTTACACAGGATGACCATCTTGGTGCTCATGGTCTTCCCTGCCTGCTGGATGGCCAGGTTACCTTCTTTGTACACTTTAATGATGGACACGGTGGCGTGTACGCTCCCGCCGCGCGTCACCGCTGAGATGACCGTGCCGGTGAGCACTGGCGTGTATGCATACACACAGCAAGATGAAAATGACAAAATTAGTTGGTCGAGTTGAACAAATCATCGTGCAGCCCGCTGAAAGTAAAATGATAAGAATGGCTACTTATTTCTAAAATTCACTCTTGATTTATTTTTCTTAAAATTTTCTGCATTTCTGTTAATAAAAGCTGACAATGATAACTGAGGATTGGCATCCAATTAATTGTAAGAGCTCAAGGGGTTGGGAACTTGAAGCCGATTTTCACATGTGGAGGCAGCACTTCATCAACAGCACCAAATGTCACTTGCTAACTCATGGAGCTCATTTGTGCATGTGGTGCATGCAACACAAATATCCAGGTAGACATTTATTTGCTGATTTAAGTATTTGCCAGTTATCCGAAGCTAACTGGTAATCTGTGTTAATGCCGCAGTTTGTCTTATTTAGGGAGTGCTTTGCTTGAAAATGGCCAAACCCCCCATCTAGCCGCCAAGTCATGGGTGCTGTAGCTGATCTTTGCATGTGGTGCATGCAGCAAACAAAAATACCAAGTGGACAAGTTCACATTGGAGTTAAAAAAATATATATCTGCTTGAACATGATTTTGCTCTTTGTCAAAATGATAACTCTGCCTTTGGCCAAGCTGCCAAATCGAGAAAAAAATCACCAAGGCGGCATTAAGTCAATCATTTAAATTGTGACATCACAACCAATTATTTGGATACAAGCAATCGAAAAAGGACATTTTCCATAACGATGCCCCCACTTGCTCACGTTTTTGGTTTCCAGACTAGCACGAGGTGCCCGCCACATTCCCCCGCCAAGCAAGCACACGGCCGATGCCAGCCCTCCTCCTCTTTGCTCTTTTGAGCAATGCCAAGAAAACCGAGTCACGAGGTAAACATCCCACAGAGGTAAACAGCACGGGGTGAATGCGAATCATTTATCGAGGCTTCACGCCACTGGAGCGCTTTCACTGTGTCGTTACTGTACGCTCTCCTCACCTCTCTCTCTCGCTCTCAAGGACACCTTTCAGACGCCTATCATGAGGTCTAACACTTCATAAATAGAACAATTCCGTTGTACGTTACTGTACGTTATAAAAAAAAATCATAATAAAATAGACAACTTTAGAAAAATGAGGCGTTTTGATTGCTAAATGTAAATTCAACACAATATAACACCGAGAACTAAAAATAAAAAACATTTTTGAAAACATTTAAAAAATCTCAAATCATTGTGTATTTTCGATGACAAATGTGAAAAAAGAATGACGTCAATATTTATTTATTTTTACTAATGACTTGATTATTACCTAAACAAAAAAAAAATGAAGGCATTTACAAAGTAATACAAAATAGACGGAAATATGCTAAACTATTTTAGAATGGATCCATAAAATGCCATAGAAGAATACAGTCATAAAAAAAAAACCAGCATTGAAAAAGTTTACAAAATGTAAATCCTATTATTACTATTATTCTATCATTTTTAATTTAAAAAAAATTAAAAATAATTTTATAATGAGTTATGTTAATTGTATCAATTAAACATTTGTGATATTTTAGTATTTTTTTAACATGTCTGGGAGTTTATGTTGAAGCATGATCGTGTTGCTTTATTTTTTTTTTTTAAATTACGCTTCCAAAACCATTTTATTTTTCCATGTCAATGTATAAAATATAAACCAGAAACAACAGATTGGAAGGATTAGTCGCTGACAACCTCACCAAAGTTGCTGGAGCAGAAATTGCTCTCGAGTGTGCCTCGTCGTTTGCACTTTTGACGGCACAGGGCCACGGAGTACTTGAGGGCTGCAAACAAATACGCACAAAATTAATGCATTATTTGGTTGATTATTTCATGAGATGTATCAATCTGTCAGTTGCAGAAATCGCCGTGCCATATGCCACCCCAGAAGGCCCCGCCCCTTGAAGGCACACAGATTCTACACTGTATGCAGTATGTTCACATTTCATTAACAATGTGTTTAAAAAGTGTCTTTGACTGAAATTTAAATGTGGTTAACGCAAGTGGGAGGGATAAAATCATTATTGGAAAAATGTTGTTAAATATTGTTTGTGGTCTAGTGGAAAATGAGCAAAGCGTAATGACCTCATGGCCAAATAAGAAGGTTACGCCACTGGCGGCGGGGGAAATAAGCGTGGGTGGTTCTTTTTGTCTGGCCAAGGCTCACGAGTATGCAGCGCTATTGCCGTATTCACCGAGATGTTAGATGAATGTTGCTACCTACGTATGGGCCTGGTCGTGAGCGGCTGCGTGGTGGTCGGCGGCAGCGTCGTGGTGACGGAGAACTTCTTGGGGCGGAATTTGTAGTGCCCGATGAAGCCGTCCGCGGTCAGGCTGAGGTCCGACAGGAACTGGACGAGGAGCTGGTTGCCCTCCGACAACACAGGCCTGCGACATCAGAATGGGAGGGAATGACAATTGAGAGTGACGGGTGGTTCACACTTTGTGTACTCACTGAGACCAAGTAGCAATACCTCTTGTAACACTTGAGAGAGAACATTCATTTAACGCGATGATAAAAAAAAAAATGGTGACAAAACACCTTTCCTTTTGACTCAGGTGATGATTCGCCAATGTGTCACACTGCTGCATTATAGTGCCAACTACTACTGAGGACTTAACGTCAGATTCGTTATTTCCTTAAGTATCTGTTGCTGGTATCGGCAGCAACCGCGAATATCTTAAAATAAGGCTGGTATCAGCTCGATACGATACCTGGTATCGGGCTGGTATCAGATCGATAGTGATATCTTGTATCGGGCTGGTATCAGCTCAATATGTGATATCGGGCTGGTATCAGCTTGATACCGATACCTGGTATCGGTTCGGGTATTCTCAATTTTTCTAGTATGAATATATATATATATATATGAATATCTTAAAATAAGGCTGGTATCAGCTCGATACGATACCTGGTATCGGGCTGGTATCAGATCGATAGTGATATCTTGTATCGGGCTGGTATCAGCTCAATATGTGATATCGGGCTGGTATCAGCTTGATACCGATACCTGGTATCGGTTCGGGTATTCTCAATTTTTCTAGTATGAATATATATATATATATATAAAGAAAATGGTGATTACACAGTGAGATGCGAGACCGATATGACATGACACAGATACGATATCGGCTGAGATTGGGTATGAATGAGATTTGCTGGGATGAGACGACAGGGTCCAAACTAAAACGCGCCAAAATAAACAAGACGTGAGACCTACGCCGGGGGACTGTCTCCGCAGTACTTCCCGATCCTCCTGGCGTCGTTGATCTCGCCGCCGTTGAAAATGGAGACGTGGTCGTAGCGGCAATAGTTATCTCGCTCCACGTCAAACTTCTCAAACTTGACTTCAATGATCTGCAGCGAAATCACAGAGTCTTTCATCAAGTACTCTCCAAAAATGCTTCACATGTATTCAGGCCAAATTTTTTTTTTTACCTGGTTCTTTGGTGCCACTATGTGCCAGGAGCAGGTGACGCCGGCTGGGTAGTCCCTGTCAGGCCAGTTGGGAGTTTTGAACGTTCCAGATGGTTTGTCCAATCTGCCCCCACAGTACTGATCCCCTGTTGAGTCGATGGTAACGTTAGTCATGGGACTACGTCAAATATTCGTTCCTGTACAACGGTCCATTTACACTCGGCGTTCTCCAATTTTTTTGCTTCCGGGGGCCCGCGACGGGAGAGACAGTTTTTCAAGGACCGTTTCATAATCCTAAAACCAATGAAAGTGATTTGAGAATCACGTTTATGTGACGATACGTCACAATTAAAGGAGAGCTTTTAATTGGCACAAACCATGACAACAACCTCTCTGCAATTGTCCATCATGTCGGAGCCATGGCAGCTGTCTGCCTCGCAGATGCTCCGGTACAAGAAACCACTTATTAAAATTCCTCTTGGATCGCAGAGCAGACTTTGCTACCCCTTGCAAAGAGGAAAATACTTTCTGACCATGTGTTGTCCTCTCCAGGGGGGTTGCGGGGGCGGCGGCTTAGAGAGGGTGGCGACGGTTCCGCATAAATGCCAGAGAAATTTCACATCCGGCTGAGAGAAGATGTCGCTTGTTGTTGTCTAAATAGGGCAGCCTCAAGGCCAGACTTGTTATTGAGCGAGACAATCTTCCGTTTGAAGCTTCAGAACAACCGCAAGTCGGTCTTCGAAATGTGTTATCACTCGCTGAAGCATTCGCTGAATCAAGCGATTTTGTTGATGCTGAGTTCTGGTGTGCAGACCGTCGGATAGACTTTCCTTGGCTTTGTGTGAACGCCCGCTGACAGAGTTCTGCGTTTTCATCAGCACAGGTGGTGGCGCGCCTTTCGCACAGAACAGATCCTGTTTCGAGAGACTTGCCATGAAGCTTCACAAATTGATGCTGAACTGCAGTCTGGGACAGAAAACTTGTGCCGGGCGGCCATCTTGCAACGCAGATATACCGTATTGGCCCGAATATAAGACGGCCCTGATTATAAGACGACCCCCTCTTTTTCAAGACTCAAGTTTGAAAAAAGACTTTTTGAACACCAAATTAATTTTTATACAGAAAATAAT